ATTTATATATATATATATATATAATTTTCTCGTTAATCATAAAGTGAAAAATTCACCTGTAGACGCTTTTCCTTCTTTCTTTCATTCCTTTTAGCAGATTTGGTCATAGGCTTGACATCCACCACCGGATCGTAACCCGGAGGCACATCTTGCGACGCCGCCATCTCTTTCTTCCACTGCCATCCTCATTAATCATATCAACATTCCCAAACCAAAAACCACTCAACACATACATATGTGTGTGTGTATGCAATGTATGTGAATAGAAAACCTACCAGAGCGCCTTTGGACTGGTAAATGGCTACTTCATCTTGAGGGACATAGCCAGCCCTAATTCGAATAGGCTTTCGAAGAGTCCCGTCTGGTCTTCTGGTTGGGGCGAGAATTCTCTCTCCTTCTTTTAGGGTTTTGCTGAGCTGTGCTGCTAATTTATTCACATCTTCTTCCCCTCCTCCTCCCCCTCCTCCTCCATTACAAGCACTGCTCGCCATAACCGTGCGATTGCACAGAGAGAGAGAGACAGAGAGAGAGAGAGAGAGAGGGAGAGAGAGAAATTACAGAGAGAAAAAGACTGATGAAGAAGTAAAATTGCTCAAGGTTTTAGTGATTCGTTGCAATTTGGAGTGACGACTGAGTTGAGGTGAGGAGGCGCAAAGCAAAACAAATTAAAGAGAGAGACCGAGTCGGGGACCGCTTCGATTTTGCCCCCTTAAACCTCCTTCCAATTCTAATATATATTCAATTTGATCCAATTCTTTATATATAAATATTTAAAAAATTAAGTAATTTAATTGAAATTTAGTTATAAATTATTAAATTTAATTTAATTAAGTTATTCGATCAAATTTTAAAATATTAATTGATTCAAATAGAGACCACAAACATCAAATCAATCGAATTATCGAATTGAATTTGAATTTGACTCTTGAAATCGAATTAGAATCGGCTAGAATTCGATTCAAACCCCGATTGATTGTCGTAATTGTAAGAATATAATCTATTTTTTTTAATAGTGATTAAAAAAATTAAATAATTAAAATGTCAATTGTAGTTAAAAGTGTAAATTAACTAACAATAATCTCGTGTCTAAAAACACAATGTAATATAAAAAAATCAAATATTTTATCTGTACAATATTTATATTTTAAATATTTTTTTAATTTTTTTTCTCTTTAATTAAGTAATTTAAAAAATTAAACAACAAGTTGGAAAGAGAGAAGAAAGATGTAAATATGGATTAGGGAGGATGTTTGGTATTAAGAAGTGCGTTGATTATATTACATGATATTGGGGGCTGTAATGTTTTTGGGTGGAAAAAAATTTGTGTTAATTTTTTTATCATTGGGTCAATATTGACCATTGATCTACTTTTATAAATTGAAAATTCAACTTCTTAGTTGTAATATAAGATAAATAGTTGTGAATAAAATATTTGTCTTTAAATATAGGTTGTTTAAGCAGTTGATATATTTTATGTTTTCAAGATATTCTATTTTATTATATGAATTAATATTAGAAAATAGTTAAAAATACAAAACATATTAAGTAAATTAGTAAGATTCAGTAACATTTTCCAAAACTTAAACACAAAATTTTCGTCCTAAAATTTGCAGCAAGACTAATACTTGCCCCGCTCAAGGTTAGTGGTTGACCTAATGACTACCACTCCCACCATTAAACTTTAAAGTCANATAGAGACCACAAACATCAAATCAATCGAATTATCGAATTGAATTTGAATTTGACTCTTGAAATCGAATTAGAATCGGCTAGAATTCGATTCAAACCCCGATTGATTGTCGTAATTGTAAGAATATAATCTATTTTTTTTAATAGTGATTAAAAAAATTAAATAATTAAAATGTCAATTGTAGTTAAAAGTGTAAATTAACTAACAATAATCTCGTGTCTAAAAACACAATGTAATATAAAAAAATCAAATATTTTATCTGTACAATATTTATATTTTAAATATTTTTTTAATTTTTTTTCTCTTTAATTAAGTAATTTAAAAAATTAAACAACAAGTAGGAAAGAGAGAAGAAAGATGTAAATATGGATTAGGGAGGATGTTTGGTATTAAGAACTGCGTTGATTATATTACATGATATTGAGGGCTGTAAAGTTTTTGGGTGGAAAAAAATTTGTGTTAATTTTTTTATCATTGGGTCAATATTGACCATTGATCTACTTTTATAAATTGAAAATTCAACTTCTTAGTTGTAATATAAGATAAATAGTTGTGAATAAAATATTTGTCTTTAAATGTAAGTTGTCTAAGCAGTTGATATATTTTATGTTTTCAAGATATTCTATTTTATTATATGAATTAATATTAGAAAATAGTTAAAAATACAAAACATATTAAGTAAATTAGTAAGATTCAGTAACATTTTCCAAAACTTAAACACAAAATTTTCGTCCTAAAATTTGCAGCAAGACTAATACTTGCCCGGTCAAGGTTAGTGGTTGACTTAATGACTACCACTCCCACCATTAAACTTTAAAGTCGTGGGATCAAATCTTATCGCCTCTCTCCTATATACTTGATAAAAAAAATAAAAATACTTGCCCGCTGTGATGTTGGAAATAGATTTTTTAGCTCAAGCCCAAGACCCACCCCAGTATTCTTTCAAAAATTTATATTTTTTTTTCTTAATTGTTCAATATTTTCATATGTAATCATCCAACTTACACATCAAGTATATATAACGTTATTAATCTCTAAGTAAATATTTTAAGGCCAGATCAGACAAACCCATTGTTTGATTAAGACCTCAATATGCATCAGCTGATGGAATTGATGAACACGACCCTAACCACGATACATATTCAACTATACAAGATTATAAATGAGTCAGATATTTGCTAAAACCCGACATATAACAACCTTTGTGATGAGGAAAACTACCCTTAGGTTTTTGAACGGCCCCATTTCAAAGTTGGCTGGACTTTGTCTGATTTCACAAAAACAGAGAAATTATATTACACCCTACCACGAAAAAAAAAATATATCATTACAATCACAATGACAAACCTTAAACCAAAGCATCTAACATTGCAGCCCATCAGCAATCTTCTTTTCCAAGGTTTCATGTCCCTGTCGATATATACAGATAGCAGCCATCTTTTAACAAATGGAGTTACAAAAAATGATTACGGTGAAGCAAATTTACATGAAATCGCAGAGGTATTCCAGTTTTTTTCTTCTCGTATCATAGCGTATCTTTTTTTTGCAAATCCCTCTGAGGAAAAATGTTGTTCATCTATTGGATTCGTTGCAATCATTCCCCTTTATCTTCTTCTACTTCAGAATCCTCAGTTCCTTCGGCAATCTTCTCCTTTCTATCCTGTTTGACTAAACTGATGTCACCTTTTGGTGTTTCTCTGCATAAGGATTGAGATTCTTCATCGTCGGAATCTCCCCCATTTTTGTCAGAATAGGCATAACTGCACACAAAATATATTATAAGCGAGGTGAAGATGCCAGAAAGTCGCACTAAACAAAAAGGGCCGGAAGGATCTGGTTATAAGGAAGAGCCTACAACACAATCTAATGCTTTGTATTTTTCTACTTCTGCCAAGTTACACCTGCTTCAAACTTAGTACATTGATAAACCAGAATAAAGCTGAAAAGGCTGGACCTAAGAATCACAACTTTTTCGAGAAATGTCCAAAACTTGGGGTAGACATTTTTCCATCTAATTATATGCAAGTTCAGATGGAAAACCTACCATCATCCCAGAAGAGAGGTACTTAATTTAGAGTCCAGCAAACACCACAGGTTACCCCTCCCCAAAGGGGATGTGTGTCTTGCCTTCAAAGAGAAAGTGTCTGAAAGTGAGCATGCCCAAGTCCAACAGGATATGAACCAAAAAAAGTCCTAAAAGGACAAGGTGGACATAAGTTTAACAGAAAGGGATCGATTTTCAGAGAAAAATGGCTAGTGAATCACCTTTAGTGGGCGATGACAAAAATAGTAAACTATCAACATTATTTGAAGTCATTCTCCAATACTATTTTTTAAGGAATTCCCCAAGATAAAAGAAAGGGGACTACCCTATGACTAGAAAAGTATGCATAACGCACCGTTGAGAGCTCTGTGATGGTGCCCAGAGATAGCACATGACACAAAGCAATGCCAATGCAAGAATGTCCCAGAAAGCAGTGATGATCCACCCACCTTGCCACCGCTCATTGAATGGATCTGTCGCTTTGAAATAAACCTGTAGCACTGAACTCATCAGTACTAATGATTCCAGGTCCCGAGAAAATCAAAGGTAAACAAAACATAAAAGACAACTTCTCAGGTGTCAATTACAGCCTAAATTGATATGCCTAAACGTAATTGAAAAAAAAATTATTTCAATAGGCGTTTGCTGCTGAATAACTAGTGTGTTCCATTCTACTATCCANCATCGTCGGAATCTCCCCCATTTTTGTCAGAATAGGCATAACTGCACACAAAATATATTATAAGCGAGGTGAAGATGCCAGAAAGTCGCACTAAACAAAAAGGGCCGGAAGGATCTGGTTATAAGGAAGAGCCTACAACACACTCTAATGCTTTGTATTTTTCTACTTCTGCCCNTCGCACTAAACAAAAAGGGCCGGAAGGATCTGGTTATAAGGAAGAGCCTACAACACAATCTAATGCCTTGTATTTTTCTACTTCTGCCANAAACAAAAAGGGCCGGAAGGATCTGGTTATAAGGAAGAGCCTACAACACAATCTAATGCTTTGTATTTTTCTACTTCTGCCAAGTTACACCTGCTTCAAACTTAGTACATTGATAAACCAGAATAAAGCTGAAAAGGCTGGACCTAAGAATCACAACTTTTTCGAGAAATGTCCAAAACTTGGGGTAGACATTTTTCCATCTAATTATATGCAAGTTCAGATGGAAAACCTACCATCATCCCAGAAGAGAGGTACTTAATTTAGAGTCCAGCAAACACCACAGGTTACCCCTCCCCAAAGGGGATGTGTGTCTTGCCTTCAAAGAGAAAGTGTCTGAAAGTGAGCATGCCCAAGTCCAACAGGATATGAACCAAAAAAAGTCCTAAAAGGACAAGGTGGACATAAGTTTAACAGAAAGGGATCGATTTTCAGAGAAAAATGGCTAGTGAATCACCTTTAGTGGGCGATGACAAAAATAGTAAACTATCAACATTATTTGAAGTCATTCTCCAATACTATTTTTTAAGGAATTCCCCAAGATAAAAGAAAGGGGACTACCCTATGACTAGAAAAGTATGCATAACGCACCGTTGAGAGCTCTGTGATGGTGCCCAGAGATAGCACATGACACAAAGCAATGCCAATGCAAGAATGTCCCAGAAAGCAGTGATGATCCACCCACCTTGCCACCGCTCATTGAATGGATCTGTCGCTTTGAAATAAACCTGTAGCACTGAACTCATCAGTACTAATGATTCCAGGTCCCGAGAAAATCAAAGGTAAACAAAACATAAAAGACAACTTCTCAGGTATCAATTACAGCCTAAATTGATATGCCTAAACGTAATTGAAAAAAAATTATTTCAATAGGCGTTTGCTGCTGAATAACTAGTGTGTTCCATTCTACTATCCAAAGCCACTATGCCTAAGTTTGGCATTCTTGTTAAGAAAGTGCAGATAAAAGTCCGGGATATTGGGTGCATAAAATTGGAGTAAAGTTTGGCATAAATATACTTTTGTTGAATGCATTGGATAAAAGAAATACTTCTTACCCAATAAGTATTTCCACTGACAACCTCCATTCAAATTTATATTCACATGGACACATAAAGAAAATGCCAGGTTCTGAGTATATTATGCCAAATATTAGACGGTAACTTTATGGATTCAATGTTTAATCCAAAGATTAATACATATCCGTAGCGGGAAATAAAAAGTAATACAGGTGGTGAATAAAATTGCATTAAACAATAACAGTACTTGCAGTTCATTCAGAGCATTAAATGAATGATAATGGTTTCTATAGTAGAAATGAAAGCCAAAACTGTAGAGACTCTCTCTTTATCTTGACATATAACATTAATTGGCAAAAAATATTACTGATTAATTAGTAAAAAAATTTACTATCAGTGAAATATTTGGCAAGACAATCTTTCCTAGTGCTGACATGGATCTTGGTCATTGACTCGAGATAAATATAGCACGGTAAATAAAAGCAGCTAGGTCATTAAATGGTGAATATTTGAGGAGGTATCTATGGTAACATGATTCCAAATGAAAGAGCACCATTCAAAGATATAATCCCCCACCAATCTTTCATTAGGTGGCCATAAATCAACATGCAAAGACAGAGTAAGATAACGCGGAAGTGAAGTAACAAGAATCACATCAACGAGAAGAAATCTGAAATGGAGCTCGTAAAAAAGAAAAAGAAAACATAGTTACTTGAATTAATTTGTACAACTCTGAGTAGTAGGATTTTGAGAAGGGTAAAAGAAGTTCAAAATGAAGTGAATGTACTAATAAAGTGTGTGTTAACATCCATCAAAACTGAAATATACCTTGTTCTTAACACATACCTCATATCCTATCCAAGCTACTGAAACAATAACCGTGACTGCTAATGCATTTGAGAACTTTCGATAAATATCCAACTTAACAGAACTCCTCTTTGCCTGGATAGGAAACAAATAATGGCAGATGTATGAGAGAGAATACAGCAAAGCAAAAATTTGCTGGCGCAATCAATCTATCTAAACATTAAAAATAAGAACTAATACTGAAAAAAGTACAGATGATACCTGTAGCTGATCTAGTGTTTTGGATAAAGAAGTGAAAATCCACAAGATTAAAAATGCATCCAGGAATGCATCTGGAAGGACTAGAAAGACTCTCGCGCGTCCTGCTATGTCATTTATGGTTCCCACATACTCGGTAATATTTAGCAATTCAGATGCCAAGAAATAAGTTATTCCAAGAAGCGTCACCTTTGTAGTAAGACCACCAAGAGTAGGACGCACAACACCATAGCCCATTGAAACAGAGAGTATAAGAAGGCGTGAAATAGTTCTCCTTATGGCTCCAATTGTCACAACCCATGTTGTGATTCCCACTGGCCTTTTTCCCGTGTTATTGAAGTATGCATACTCAAAATACCAAAGCATCATCTCAAACAAACCAAGAGCAATAACAGTGGTGATGCAGTGCTGAAGCTGCAAAACATCCTTCCAATATCTCATGTACTGAAAAAACCAGATCATACTGAGCAATGCATATGCGAGAGACATGATCACGTAAAACTTCATCAAGGGGGCCATTCTACCTGGTAAATAACCATCAGGGTTTTTCCATTGCGTCCTCCCACTCATGGTCATTCCTTTGAGTTTTGGATCACATGATATAAAGAATAAGTTGTACATCCCAGTCTTCTTGATGTAAATCTCCTTATTTTTCAGATTTGTGGATAATAAGTTCCCATGGAAACGTGCATTTAAAATGATAGGCCATTTTTTATTGGTTGCAGAAGGTATCCTAATGACTTCCCCTTGTTTACAACCTTCCAGCTTAGCAAGATCAGGGGTGCAACAGAGAGATCTTTGCCCCCCATAAGCTGAACCACCTATATTATCACGATCAGCTGCCTCAAAGATTATGACTTGGATCAACCCAGTACTATATGCCATGTCTGGGTGCTGGTCTGCAACTGCTTTACTCCTCCAAAATGTGATATTCTCAAATCTATATATCAATTCCCAGAGAACATAAATAACTCATAGATTAAAAAATTCTGACAATAGTGGCATAAAAGCATATTCAAACACAGTCCTTTGGTTGCTCCAATGTACTGCTATCTTTGATAAATATCTTCCTTATCATATAGTCATATATCAGATTAACTTTTGTAGGTTCATCAACTGCAGGCTCGTAAGTGTTCAGGGTAGCACTGGATACATTATAATTGATGTATAGCGAGATCACAGAGATCCCGCGGCAATACATATGATAGGACAACCCACCTGGGCACTAGGTCCAATGTGAGTCGGATCCCTGAGCCATGCTTCATAATTGGCAAAATTTACACCATAAAGATCAAAAACTTGCTCACATCGTCACTCATTTGCCTCAAAAGGTAATTGTTCTTTTATACAAGGAATCAGCTATTATAAATCTCTTTCTCACTTGTCCTCTTACCTTTTCAAGTTCTATATCCCCTATCAGATTTAGAAACTTAAAGTTCATAAAAGCAATACTAACATGAAACTGATATGTGAATTAAGCTACAATGGAAGCAATAACTTCAATGCAAAGTTAAAACAGACAATTAGTAATGTTATTGAGTTCAATTTCTCTTTTATAACTTATCCATGGTTTGTTAAGCTCCATATCACTAAAAGGACTACTGAATTCCAAAAATAACATAAAATACTAACTAAATTTCAAGAAAATCTTGGCATTCTTCTTTCCATTTCTTCAAATTTCTCAGCAACCAAACAGAAATGTCATGATATTAAGCATGCACACAATGCGACACCAGATCTGATTCAACATCACTAAATCTTACCTAAAGGAGAGAGAGAGAGAGAGGAATACCTGACGTAAGAGCGTCCATCGTGAGGTGAAGAGTGGATTGCATGAGGGCGCAGAGGAGTGGGGTTGCGAGAAGCGACGATGCCTTCGCTGCCGCCGGAGAGAAGGTAAGCATTGCCGACTTCTCTGAATGGATCTCGATCGTAGATGTGGATTGACGCATTGGCCGATCCAATGGCTGATATGAGAAGGAACACTCCAGCGGCAACGAAGCGATTGACTGAAGTGCTCGCGAAGCCCATGGGCGTTACAAGCGCAACACAATTCTAGAGAGAGAAGAGAGAAAAGTTCGGCGAATTTGGTGGGGGTTATAGAGGAGAGCGGTGAGGGAGTGTGTGAAAACTGAAACCCGAAGCAATGCTGGTGATCTCAGTGGCAAGTACAACCACGCGCACGTAAAGCCCGTGGATTTATTTCATTCATGTGGGAGNGGGGTTATAGAGGAGAGCGGTGAGGGAGTGTGTGAAAACTGAAACCCGAAGCAATGCCGGTGATCTCAGTGGCAAGTACAACCACGCGCACGTAAAGCCCGTGGATTTATTTCATTCATGTGGGAGAACAGCTGTAATAGAGTAAATATTCGGGCAATGTCGGCGTAATCACCTAATAAAAAAAATTATAAAATAAAATTTATTTTTTATTATATGACGAACAATATTATAAAATTCAAATAAAATTTAAAAAATTATAACTTTAATAAATTTTCACTTTGTATTCTTAAAATATTTTTGTGGGACCGACTTGCAAACTTGTTTATTAGTGTAACCATTACGTCTAATATTTTTTTTTTCTATTATAAAAACACTGGCAAATTCAATAACAACATAAAGTTAAGGAAAAATTACCAATAAATAGGGTTTTTTTTAACTTTATACATTAAAAGATTTTAAGATTATTATTTTGTATTTTTAAAAATTATATTTTTTATATTACATCATTAATGTATCAAAAATATTATAATGTGACATTTTTTGTTAGTTTTTATTATTTTTCGTGAGAGGTCACCCCATTGACATAAATAAAAAAACTAATAAAATGATAAGATTACAACACTTTTGATATATTGAGAGTGTAATATGAAAAAATTAATCTTTAAAGAGACAAAATAAAATTTTAAAATCTTTAATGTACAAAATATAATTTGCCTCAATAAATGTTATTTTTTTTCACAAAATATCTTATTATTTTTGGTTTAAAACAAGGAAGTCCTACTATTGTTATTGGAGTCCGCAAGTGTCGCCNAAAAAACTAATAAAATGATAAGATTACAACACTTTTGATATATTGAGAGTGTAATATAAAAAATTTAATCTTTAAAGAGACAAAATAAAATTTTAAAATCTTTAATGTACAAAATATAATTTGCCTCAATAAATATTATTTTTTTTCACAAAATATCTTATTATTTTTGGTTTAAAACAAGGAAATCCTACTATTGTTATTGGAGTCCTCAAGTGTCGCCTTNTATTTTTTTTCACAAAATATCTTATTATTTTTGGTTTAAAACAAGGAAGTCCTACTATTGTTATTGGAGTCCGCAAGTGTCGCCTATGTTGCACTATTGCATTACCCAGGGGCACCCCACCAATAAAAAAAAATAAAAATTAAGTTACATCTTATAATGATAGTTCTAAAAATTGAATCAATTTGACGTTTCATAAAACTAGCAACATAAGTAATATATTATTAGAATGCACCAAGTCGGGTATGTATCAAGAGAAACATAAAATTGAAATAAAATATAATATTTATAAAGTTTAGGACTTGATTGAAATAAATTATAAAAAAATAGGACTTTATTTTCCTAAACTATAAATAATAGGACTTAATGGTATTTTGGATGAAAAAGTGATACTTAATAATTTTTCCTAAAGTTAATTGGCAATTCAATTGTAACAATAGTCAAAAAAAAATTATTATATGAATTAATCCAAATAAGAATAATACTTCTATAAATACCTTTAAACTATTTCTCTTGTTTTAAAATATCTCCGCACCTTCAACCCATTTCGATTTTAATCCTAGAATTTTGAGAGTTAGTAACACATAACGCATGTAAATGATAGCGGAGGAACTTCCCTTTAGCTTGACGAGGTTTCGAGGGGTGGGTTAATGGAGGGTGGAGATATAACACCTCAACCCACTATCCNATTTCTCTTGTTTTAAAATATCTCCGCACCTTCAACCCATTTCGATTTTAATCCTAGAATTTTAAGAGTTAGTAACACATAACGCATGTAAATGATAGCGGAGGAACTTCTCTTTAGCTGGACGAGGTTTCGAGGGGTGGGTTAATGGAGGGTGGAGATATAACACCCCAACCCACTATCCCTGTCACCCCTCGAAACCATATCTCCACCCACCATATGTGAAGTAAAATCTCAAAAGATCTGTTTCTAATATAGTTTTAGAAAGAGTCATTACATTTCCTTACTTCTTCATTTTTTCTAATTCATTTACTTTACGGCTGTTTGTGAATGCCAAAAGGGACTTTTTTCTTATCCCATTATTTCCCAAATTGATGAGAACCAGCAACTAGAGCTCCCAACACAACACTAAGAGCGATAGAACAGTCTGCTATCACCCTCTCTTGTAAGGTTGACATTGTTAGTCTAAAAGAGAGCAATGTTGTTGAATTGGTGCTCCTAATATCTTGAGGAAGCTACATTGTGGCCCTTACTTACAGTTTGATTCCCCGAGTAAAACAAGATACTAGCATATCACATTCACCGGTTTTGATTCGCGAAAATTGCAAAACCATACATCCAACTGTCCCAAGGCGGGTGTCTCGTGTATTGGGCAACTATTTTTTTTTATCTTGGGCTACTCAAATTGTGTTTGTCAGCAATCAGGACCACAATTGGTAATCAAATTTGAAACAGGTTTGAAAAATCCAACATAGTCATCAAATTAAATTTGAAATCCACAGCAACAGACTAAAAACAGATAGGTTCACAATCCCAGAAGTGTTTTCACATCCTCATGCCTGTAGTTTAGGCACTTCTCAGTTCTCAGGAACCATTGAGTACTAACAAACAACCTTGCAAATGATAAAACAGAAAATGATGCCTTAAGTTCAACAGCCATGGCCAAAATGGTCACCAAAAGCAACAAAGACAAGTAATAAATACCAAAAGTTGCTTTCCAATGCCATTCCCATTGTTCATTTCGTTGCGTAAGGTTAAGCATTTGGGATTTGGGATGTCTTGTAGGCTATTTTCAGTTCCTCCAGATTGCAGCCAGATTCAGAGGCTGCAGCATATTGAGAACCATCCACCGTGCCAGAATCATTGATACTGAGCTGATTCTGTAGGTCAGTAGCTAGTGTTTCAACTTTGATTTCCTTCATTGCAAGCATGTTGGAGTTTCCATCGAGCGAAAGGGAAGCTGGAGGGATTGCATTCAAAAAGGACTCCTTGGCTAGCAAATGGTCTTTTGGTTTCTTAGAGGCTCTCTTCTTGTTAAGATATGTAACTGGATGTTTCATTTGAAGGTTCAATACATTCATTAAATATGAGAATTAATTTTTCAAAGCAAAAGAAAATTTGGAAAGTAAAGCAATTGGGAGGAAGAATTACTAGTAGTTTTTCTCATGTTATTAGTCATGGTAAGTGATCAACCATCCAAGATAAATCATAGATCGCACTGCCAAATTGGGAAAATTGGGTGCTGTCATATAGCTTTGCATATCGGCCAAGTTCATGGGTTGGAGATTAGCCTCTCATATCTTCCGACTGATTCTAACATAAAGGCCAATGATAGGCAATAACTACTCGCTGAATACATCTTACAACTTTCATCATACTGTGCTCTCCAAATAGCAACTATTCTCAAAATCTCACTCAAAAGGTGTTAGAGTTGGAGTCCTCTCCTAACTAAGGATTCTTGTGGTTTCGGAGAATCCAATTACAAGAACCAGGAACGGGGATCTTTCCCCCTTTTCCCCCGGACTTGTTCAAGTTCATGAATCAACCTCTCAAACTATCTACCATACCGCCTATGTTTCTCAGAACCTATAGGTAGGAGTTTTATACAATTTTATGACCTAAAGATACTAAGCATCATGTGTTTATGTGGCATGGATGTTTCTTCTTTCTTGGCTGGAGTAAAGTGTGTTATGTGGTTTCGCCAGTTGGTACAACATAAATTTCCCTTCACGTTGAAGCAATAACACCTTCTGAATTACTGATAGGATGCTTCAAATTTGGTTTTGAAATTGGAGAAAGAATAGATCATTCAAAATGGACACAAACTATAGGACCTTTAAAATGCAGCATTACTCATACGATGCAGAAGGATGTCCTGTATCTAATTGAAAGTTTATTACCAATGAACTAATGATGG